CTTCGACGTGTTATTCTCTGAGTCACCCCTCAGGCAGACAATCCTTTTACCTTCTCACAGCCCTCCTCAGTCGGCAGCTTCACCTCTCCTGAGTTACCTGTGGCACCTAAAACCAAAACTGAAACAGGCAGACATTGAGAGAAAAATAGAAGCTGCAGCTCCCTGAAAGAAGCTGTTTCTTGGGCATTCCAAGCATGGCTCACCTTAGCTGAGTCATCTGAATGTTCTTTTTCAGCTGGAGACTGAGGGTGACTTTGGGTCAGGGAGGCTCATCCAAGTAGTGTGAACCAGAAATTCTGTGTTAGAATCAGTATGAGATTTATGTGGATGTATGAGCCAACCAGTGTCAGATGGAGCCTAAGTGAGTGTGAGGCCAAGTCTGAGCCAGAGAGTGTCTGTGCAATTTAAATGGAGCATGAGTCTGAGCCAGAGCCAGTCTGGGTGAGAGGGGGCCTGCGTGGTCTCTGAGGCTTAAATGGGAGTCTGAGCCACAGAGAAAAAGCCAAAAATTAAAGCTGGGAAGCAGCCAATGAACCAGAGCCACGTTAAGTAAGACTCAGCTGTGGATTGTCAGGGTTCTTTTATCCCAGCTGGGAGTTTGCCCCACCCCTGACCCACAGCACTGAGGGAAGGGTTATGGGTGACACCCTCACTCCATAACACAGTCAAGCTATAGCTGCCCTACCCATGTAAGCTCCTGCTGCAAAATAGCCCCTGCCTTTCCCTCAGCCCCATGCTATACTTCAAACCCCTTCCTGCCATCCTGATCTTGTCCCCCACCCTCCAGTCCCAAGCAGCAGTCCTTCTGCTTACCTTCTATACTGCCATGGATCTCAAACTGATCCTGGGATCTTGCCACAGCTGCCAAGTTCCTCTTTATCACCTGCAAGAAACAGAACAACCAACATGAGCACCCTGTGCTGGCCACCATCATCATCATCACCACCATCATCATCATCACCACCACCACCCCACCCACCAATGCTGGCCTGTTCTGTAACAGCCCTCTTTCTCTTCCAAAGCTCCCAACCTTGGCTAAACCACCTGAATGTCTTTATTTAGTTAGAAAGGGAGAGCGAGTCTGAGCCAAGAACTCTGTGTTAGTGTGAGACTTGTGTGGATGAGTGAGGCAGTCAAAGCCAGGTTGAACCCAAGTGTGAGCTAGAGCACCTGTGCAGCTTAAACATATGAGTCTGAACCACTCTGTGTGGAAATAAGCTCCTGGGAATCCGAGACCCAGAATCTGAGATTAAAAAAACCCTACACAGTCAGAAACTAAACATAATTCTCAGCCTGACTTCATAAAACTGAAGCTATGCAGTCTGTGAGCTTTGAATGGAAACCTAAAGGACAAAAAAGAAACCAAACATTTAAAAACCAGAGATAAGGCAATAAAGCAAAATCCAAGCAAAACCAACCCAGCTGTCCCTTGTCAGGCTGCTTTTACCCCAGGTAGTGATTGCCCCCAGCCCTGGGCCAGGGCATTGAGGGAGGGGCTGTGGGTAGGGCCTGGGATATATAAGGCACAGCTTCCAAGGAGGGCATTTCATTTGGGCTCGGCTTGGATGAAGGTAAGATGTGTGGGGTGTTTGGAGGTTTTTATGCTTTGTCGTTTATTTTTTGCTGTGGTTTTTTGAGTTTTTTGAAATGCTTTTTTCTGGACTAAAATGTTTAAGTTTTGTTAATACTTATGTGGGCGTGTGCCAATCAACTTTTTTTGTGCTGTGGTTTTGAGTGCTTTTGAGCTTAGCAAACTTGTTTGGATGTTCTCAGGCATAGAAAATATGGCCAAGGTTGGTTTTGGTTTTTGTTTTTCTTACATTATTTACTTTTTTTTTGCATATAAAGATTATGATAGTGGCTACTAAACCAACATACCAGTTATATGAAGGTGCTTTTGGGTGTATGTACTTATAAAAAGTAAATTGAATGCCTAGATTTAAAGAAAACCGAAACAGTATATTTATGTTGTTTAGGGACGTACAGGCTGTTAAAAAACTGGTGCTTTTTGGTGGAGAGTAGTAAAAAGAATTTTTTTAGTTTATAAGTTTCTCCTTTTATAAGTCTAAAGTATAGAAAGCACAGGTTCTTTACAGTCTGCATGGAATTAATATTTCAGAGTTCTTTGCTCTATTTATTTGTCTGTGAAGTAGTATATGGCTGATTTTTATTAGTTTTTCTTACTGCAGATAATAAAAACTAAATGGCTGGATGCAGTAATTATTTTTGTGTCTAATAGTGGAGTTCTGAGCATTAAGTTTTGCTTTAGACTTATGGGACTATAAAAACTAAGAAAGAAGAATATTTTCTGACAGAAAAGGCCTGAGGAGAACCATCAGTACAGCAGGAAGAGCTTTGAAATGTACCATGGGGATGAGAAAAATAAAATGGGATGTTTTATAGCACCATCTTCGAGTGTGTATGGTAGTGCAGCATGACTGTTTCAATGAGTATATTTGCTTGTGATTTGCATTGGCACTTCCACATCATTTAAATGAAGGGGTCAGAGAGATGTGGCTTGCGTGTTTTTTTTCGTTCATATTAAATTAACTCATTCTAGAAGAAAGGTCTTGAAATTAGCTGTTGAGAACCTAAGCTGATGAATTAGCTTAACACAATTTTTAACTTCTTTAAATTGTTTCTTTTCTTTCTGAAATCCAAGTCTAGTTGTGGCTGTATAGAACTGATGTGGTTCCGCAGCAATGGCAGGAGGGAATGCTGAAGTAACATAGTTTGTTTTGAGCTAACATGGTGGCTGTATTGCTGCTCCAGCTAGTTAGAAGCTTTTTATTTAGTTTCTTTCCCTGAGTAGTGGAGGAAGTGAGTTCATTTCTAACATGCATATTAATTTCTTGCCCCATTAAAGAACCTGTAAACAGTGGTTTTGTACAGGAAAGGTCTTAAATGAGTTTCTGCTTCACTGGCATTGGTAACTGTGCCAAGGGACCAGTACATAGAAACAACTCTGTGATCGAAAGTGTTCTTGAGCTTAATCTTCCACTATTCAGAATGCTGATTATAAAGAAATAATTGAGGGGATCAATTTGAGGGCTCAACTACTCATGCTTGGCTGATATCTAACCAGCTAACAGTGTCAGTACAAAATGCTACAGTGTACTTTTCACCCTGCTCAGAGGGGGTTGAAGTTGGAACTTAGTCTGTGGAAACTGTTTATCATGAAGGAAAATGAGGCTTTCTCAAAGAGCTTTGAAATATCGATGTATTGGAGATACTTAGTTCTACTAGGTGTTGTTTTAAATAAAGTCTATAGCTCATAAGAATGGTGCTGCAGCTCAGTGGGGTCATGTGAAGTGTTGTGGCTTTGTGGTCCTCTCCATTAAAACTCCCATCGAAATACAGGTTCACATCTACAAAACTGGTTGTGTCTTGCATGTATCTATAGGGCCAAACATCAGCCTGCAGAACATTGGATGTCGCTCGGATCCTTCTGCTTTCAGTGAAACAACACATTTACTTCAAAGACTCTCTTCTCCCACCTGCGCTGTTGTGCACAAAGGGGCTTGGGAAGTTTGGGATTGTGCAGCAAGGGCAGAAAGTATGTCCTTTTAGTCATAAAACCTAATAGATTTTAGAATATGGAGATGGGAACATACCAGAGTGGCTTCTCATGAACTGAACTGTAACATAGCCATAGTTGGTTTCTCATGCTTTTTCTTTTTGCTTGTATGTAAAGAACCCAGAGCCAAAGGACCAGATCTCAAAAGTGATTAAAAATTTTAAGTGGGGAAATGGCCATTGAGTTCCTTCTTTTGTTTTTAATACACAACAACAATACAGACCTCGTGATTCTCAAAAACACAAAGAGCTTTTTTGGGTATAGTTGTCTTGGATTCATCTGTTTCATCCTGTGTTTGTTTTGACCATGTTGCTACTTTTACATCATCATCTTATGTTTTAGCATGACCTCCCTGGGTACATGTAAAACTTGAACATATGTGGCTGAAGAAGAGCTGACTGCACCCAAAGAAGGCCATATAATCATTGTTTGAATTGACAGCATGATCTTGTGACAGGCTGCTGTTATCATGTTGTTTTCTTTTGTTTTTCTTTTTTTTTTTTCTTCCTATTGGTATAGAAACTAATCCTTTTCTTCACAGTCATCCCTTTTTTGGTTTTTTTTGGTGGGTTTATTTTCATCCGGTCAGTAAGATAGATGAACTCACCCTCTATGTCCACAACTGATCTGTTGCAAATGCTGCTGGCTGGGGAGTGATGGAGTCAGCCAGGACTCTAGGTTACAGTACCTTGGTATCTTTGTTGAGGTGTTCATGAGACTATACTTTGAGCTTGGCTGAAGAAATCCTTATGCATGCTGAGAGACTAATACTGACTTATTGAAGACAAAACTGATCAACTACTGTAGGCAGTGCTAAGTGAACTGAGTAAGTCGTTTTGTTTTGTAAAGTGTTACTCAAGGGTGGGTAAATGAAACCTTACAGGTAAATTAGACTCTTTTAAGCTAAATGATTATTAGAAACCATAGGACAAGTTTTTTATATGTGAAAAGAGATGCGCATTGTCAGCAAAAATGTTAGGGGGTGGGGTGCTTGTCAACAGGCTCATCTATTGCAGGAGGCATTTCAAATGTATTGGGAAATATTTTTGCATTTACTGGTTAAGTCTTAGGAATGATCCTGCTTGGAAGTGATCCTGCATGGTGTTCCGGGGTGGCTTGAAAATGTCAGCAGCACACACACTGCAGTGCTCAGTTGTGGGAACCAGAAGGAGGGGTTCCAGTTAAGCTGCAGTTGAAGTAATGGCATCTCTAACAGAAACTCATCAAAAGGATTGGTTTGCACTGGAAAGATGGGTTGAGGATATGTTAAAATGTATTAACTATCTAGTAGTTTGATTAAAGGTAAATTGGCAGTTAAATTAAACACAATTATAATCCATTTTTCTGGTGCACTGGCAAGCATGCAAAGTGGCCGAGGGCATACCTTTTGCTGATTGGTGATACTGATTGTTTTTGTTCTTTCAGGATGCAGTTCAGAATTCTGTGTTTCATACAGCAACAGTTATAGCAAACTCCTTTATGCATTGTGGTACAACCAGGGACCGGCTCCTTAGGTAAATTTAGGCAAGGAAGCTCTAATGTCATTTAGAGGTCTTCGAAGAACATTGTTGCTCTGCTTGATACCGTTAAAAGGGTGTCAGTGAAACACTAGGCTTACACAGGAGTACACAAAGGATCTGAAAATGAATGTGCAGGCAGAGGGAAGAAGCTGGAGTTGTTTGGCTTTCTCTCTCTTGACAAACTGCCTTGATTTGACTGCTAACCGTGTGAGCAGTTTGGAGGGCAGAGATCAGGAATGTTTGTTCTGTTTGCTAGCTGGAGTATTTTGGAGATGATGTATTTTTGTTTTTGGTAGAGACTGACAATGCTGAATGACTCTTGGAAGGCAGATGCCAGGGTTAACCTTACCAGGCATTTGAGGAAAGCTTCAGAAACTCCACTAGGGTTTCTCCCAGAGAATTGATGGGCTGCATTTTGGGCAGTTGTTCTCATCTTTCACTGAGATGACCAGTATCATGGAGGTTGATTATGACCACCCAAAAATCAGGGCTGGTGAACAGAAGAGAGGTGTGAAGTGGAAATGTGGTTATTTTCTTGCCTTCTGGAGCTGCTTTTCTGATCTGAAAGATGTTTTCAGTGCTGTGAAACCTTTCTTTCAGGACAAGGAACAGGCTGTATGAAAAACTTTATGGAACTTTTCTCTTTTCATCTTCCAGAGATGATTTGGAGCGGCTGGCCAGGGCCACTAACTGGGCTAAGTTTACTGCTATTGCCAGCTTGGGTGTTATACACAGGGTAATGTGTTCATTGCTCTCTGTAGAGTATAAATGCTTGACTTGTGAGTGCTGAAAACATTGAAAGAGGGTTTCGGAAAGATGCCTGCACTCCAGTTTACCGAGTCTATTGCAAGATGCGGCTGTAACAAAGCTGGTGTCTGCACTAAAGGAAAAGCTGTGCTTTATCTAGTCTATCTTCTCTGATACCCGGTGTGGTTTATGGCATGTTTTACTGAGCATCAAAAAGGTGGTAGTCTAACACAGCTCAAGGGCTCTTCCTAGATCCTCTCTTCCTTTGTGAGTTGAACAGAGTCAATAGTTCCTAGCTATTAAAACTGCAGGTGTATATTTCTTATGTGGTATTAGGACAATACTGTCCTTACTGTAGTAAGCTTCAATAAGTTTGAATCGTGACCTGAGTAGTCATTTTCTTCAAATTCATGCACAGAGATGGCATATTTAGAGCTGTTTTGAAATAGCAAGAAGTCTTTGTGTTGTGTGTGTCAGCCCTCATTAAGGTGGTCTAGTGAATGAACTAGTGTAGCTTCAGGCCAAATTTGTCATGAATCAGTGACCAAGTGGTTGGTGAATACTTGTGTATTGTGGTTAATGAAACCCTAGTACAGAAGGATTCTTTTCTGCCTGTGCAGCACTGAAAGGCTGATTTTTGTGGAGAAAGTAAAGGCTATAACTTGCTTTCTCCTGATATGTTTAAATATCATCGTGAAATATGTGCATATGCTGCTTTTTCACCTTTCACTTCCCACTATCTTCTCTTCCTGCTGGGTGCTGGAGACAGAGGGTCATGAGAAAGAAGCATTGCAGCTAATGGCAACTGACCTACCCAAGGAGACCTCGCCAGGGTCAGCATACCAGGAAGGTGGGGGCCTGTATGCCTTGGCTCTCATTCATGATAGCCATGGTGGGGACATCACTGGTTATTTGCTGAACCAGCTGAAGAAAGCCAGTATTTATGTATGTACTGGGTTCAGTGATGAACCTTTGTTTTGTTGGGAGTATCCAGCTTGTTTAGGGTTAGAAGTGGCTAAGACGATGGCAGTAGTATGGTACTTACACTTCTTTTGGGCCTTAAATATAAAGCTTGGTTTTAACAACCTATTGCTCAATGTTTAGGTAAGATTTTTAGGAAATTCTTTCAATTTAGGAAACAGTTGACAGTCAATCTAGCTTCATCTTTCTTACTCCTTGAGTATCAACTTAGTTTTGCTAGTAGACCTGCATTATTCAGGGACTGTTAATTCTTACGGCTTAGCTGTCAAAAGAATAAGCCACAAAATGCTTCTGCTGCCCAATAGGTTTAATGCAACTTGTTAAAAAAATTATTTTACTTCACCACTCACTGTTTGTAAACCTCTACAAAAAGTCTCATTTTCAAGTTAGGAACAAATTAGTATTTTCCCAGCATGTTCCCTTCTTCTCTTTGGGGAATTTCACACTGCTTTAAAAATTCTGTGAAAGGATTCCACTCATCTTATTGCAAATGTATTGTTTTTCCTGTATCCATTGTTAGGAAAAAGAGGATGTAGACAGTTCAAGTGGGTTACTGATTTACCTTTCTACTTAAAAAGTATTATTGGGCAGCAGTTTTTACACATGGCAGAGTTTTAGGGTTTTACGTAAATCACTCAGTGGGGAAAGACTTTGAAGATGCTAGAAAGTGTCTTGTGCTTTGTGTGAAGCTTCTGGTACTCAATGTTTATGGGCTTTTGAACCACTATTTCTATAGTTTTCTGCCTCTTTCATAAGAATTACTGCCTGAGATGGTTTAAGTGGTATCTCTAACAGATTATTTCGAATTTTGGGTGGTTTGAGACTGGAAGTTTGCAGCATTATGTTGATGGAAAAATGTGTACTTCAGCTGAAGCCGTATTTTTCCTGGTTTTATGATGACTAAACTTGCATATGCTTCTCTAGATTGTCTGACATGGTGGCAGCCTGGGTTTTGGTCTGGCTGCCATGGGGACAGCAGGTCCAGATGTGTACGATTTGCTGAAAACAAATCTATACCAGGATGATGCAGTGACAGGTCAATATTCTGCTTTCAAAGCAAATAACCATCTGAGGCCTTATCAGGCATCTGGGTTTTTTTGGTGCAGGTTACTTGGTTTTTTTCAGGTTTCCTATTAGCAGCATAGGTTGCCTTAGCTGTGTTTTATTTACTTGCCTTTTCCTGATCAGCATGGTTCTTTAGTTATATGGCGCTAATATTCAGAGGTCCTGTCAGGACTGGTCTGTGGCATTATACCCAATATTGGTGAGACATGCTATGTCTTTAAACAGTCTCCTATTTGATCTGTTGGCCTACTTCTTGTGTGATTTTCTAGATAGAGTATTTACAGCTTTTGGGAACAGAGTTTGCTTGATTGTTTTTTTTTTTCTTTTCTGTGCTGCACAGCTGAGACAGCTGGCTTGGCACTGGAACTGGATATGTTGTGATCTAAAAATGCTCAAGCTATTGAGGACATGGTTGGCTATGCACAGGAAACCCAGCATGAGATGGTTTTGCGAGGCCTTGCAGTTGGGATTGCTCTGGTCATGTATGGGAGAATGGAGGAGGCAGATGCTCTCATTGAGAGTCTGTGCAGAGATAAGGTCAGTTTAGTTGTGAATTAATCCCTGGCCCTTCTGTTACACATATGACCTTCAACAGTACGAGAACAAAAGTGCTTAGTTGTGTATTTTTTAGTCTCATACTTACTCTCTATAGTTCCGTGAGCAGTAACAAGGAGCAGAGCAGGTTGTAATGATTATTAGGTTTTTCACTTGATAACTTTCATAAAGTACATGATCAGTTGTTTTGCTTTAAGACACAGTTCTGGGGGGAGCCCTTGGTTTGTCTAGCTCAGACTCCTGCATTCACGTGCAGCCGTGGAAGGGATTTTCTGCTATGTGGGCCCCATAGGTTACACCCCACTTAATTCGCTCTAATTATGAACTAAAAGCTATGTTTCATTTTCTGGAAATAAAGAACGTACATCACTGTGGTGATCTAAAAGGAGGATTACATTTACATTTCCTGTTTGCTGAAACTGCTAGTTAGAACTAATTGTGTTCTATAGCCCATAAAGAGCAAGTGGGCTATGCGTTCGTCAGATTCCTTGCTTAAAATGACATCTCTTAGGACTGTTGCTTGTTGAAGTCTATCTAGATTTACTTGTGTTAAAGCCCCTAATACAGCATTGAATGCTGGCAAGAGTCAGTTACATGTCAGCTGCTACGTGTACAGAGCTTTTGACTGAAGTGTTTTGTGGTGGGAGCTGAGCAGGTCTCTAACACTGTGGGCTGAGCCCCAGAAATTATTCTTGTCTTAGGTGGAAGAATGTGACTGAAGCTCCTGTGAGAAGAGATGTCGTTGAATTCTCTGTCTGTGGTTGCAGAAAGAGAACTGTTAAGTCAGGATTCAAATAAGAGAATAAGTTGTTGATGCAAAAAAAGCCTTTTTGGTTTTTAAGGTATAGATGAAATGGAAAAGACAATAAATTTGAAGTGCTTTCCTTTTTAAAATTGGAAAGAATTATTTTTATCTTAATTTTTTCCAATTCAGATCAGGAATTGATCTTTGATTACATTGCCAAGTGAGACGTAATTGGTTTATATAGTCAGCTTTTTTAATATTGCTATATGTTAGAGCAATGCTGCAGTGTATCTGAACACTGTAGTTTATGTACAAAATGAGGAGGTAGATGTTTTATAGATGTAACAAATACGGCTGGGGAGAAGGCTTCAATGTGGGAGGCAGCAATGCTTGAAACTCTGAACTGAAAGGGTTTAATACTCTCATAGCACTGGTAAGAGCCACGGGGAAGAAGGACTTAAGTTGAGAGATGCTGCTTCTGCCTTGGTGCAGTATTGTTGGGAAAAGGCGAAGGGCAGGAGAGGGAACAATGCAGCCTCCAGAGAGTCTCAAAAGAAAGATGTAGTCTCAGCTGGTAAGTGTAGGCTACCCAAAGCCAGAGAACTCGGCATGGCTTATGTTCAGCTCTTCATTTTAGGACGAGGCAAGTGTGATAGTAATGCTTCCTGCTTTTGTATTCTTTCTGTTTACAGAGTCTTTGGTTTTTTAACACTATGTATTTGCTTTGAGTCAAACTTAGGTCAGATACTTACATTTTGTTCCAGGAATACTTGGACAATTTGTTTTAACCCCTGCAACCTAACTTTATCCAGTAGTCAGATGGCAAATCATCTGGGTAATTGACTAGTAGGCTGTCACTCTAATATGATCTGTACCAGTCACTTTTTCAGTTCATTAACTGTGAAGAAGAGGAATTTAATGAAACATACCTGCTTGTTGATTTTTGCATGGGGAAAGGTGAAAGGGTTTTTTTACCCCCAACCCGTTTTTGTCGTCTTCTGTCCTCCTGGGGGAGGAGGATGAGGGTCCCTTTCAGTGAAAGGTTAATAGTAACAGACATCTTCCTAAACCAGAAGAAGCTTCAGACTTTCACATAAGTATTTTTAGATTTGAAAGTGCTTTTATCTCTGTAGGTTTGAAACTGGAAACAGCTGTGCATCTTCACTGACCAAACTGTTGTGCACCGGAGAATTCTCTTGGCATCTCTGGCAAAACTAATCTAAATTCTAATGAAAATTGTAGCTGTACTATCAGATTGAAACAATGAATGCATTTGTGCAATTGGTGCACGATGACATCTTGCATTAATTCTTCCTTGCCATTTTTTTATCGTTGTTCTGGACGAGTTTGTATTCATGAGATTCTACTTCAGGAAATAGAGCTCAGAGCCTTACGTTGCTTGAGGGCGTTTTAAAATCTCTGCAAGGGTTTTAACTTCGTACTGTAAAGTAGAATGTGTACACTGATAAGCAACATGATTGGGTTTCAATCTGAGATAGGTGCAAGCTGGGCTGGAGAAACCTGCTGAAATCTCCAGAGTATTCCTTCGATTAGTTGCTTTGTCCTTACATTGTAAAAACAATAGGCTTATAAGCACTACCTGTAGTGCCTATAATAAGCCTATAAGCTTATATATAAAGATTTTCGTATCACTAAATCACAGCATGCATGAGAAGAGTGAAAGAAACCAATCTAATATTCCTCCCCACCTCTCATTCCAGAAAAATACTTTCAGATTCCCAGATTATACACTCTAAAGCTTTTTAGCTGAGTAAGTAAACATTTTAAGCAGTGCAATTTATAACTGATTTGGTTGTCTGACCAAAGCCTTGAATTTGCTTATAACTACTGTTCAGCAGCTGTAGTTTCAAGTTAAGTCATAAATTCTGAGGTTCTTTGAGCCATTAAAGTAAGTTGATGATTTATTTTTTGTTTTTCATGGCAAAGACTTCTGTTGGGTTTTATGAAGAGATATTGCTGTGCATCTTGCAGAATATAAGACTTCCTTGTTGTGCAGTGGTTAATGAATTTGAAAATGAGTTGTACATAGGCATTTTTATCTATGCCATGCAAGAAATCTAATGTTCATGGTAGTATTAAGTCAGTGCTGAGAACTGTCCAGAACTCTGGGACTCCTACCTCCATCTTCCAATGCTAAGAGCCAGAGGAGCTCTGGTGAATGTCCTGTCTCTTTTAGCTCCAGAGTACCAGGTTGTTCAGTATGCTTTCACCAGGTTTACTGTGCTTGCATTACTTTACCTTTCAAGGCTGAAGTTACGTATGACAGCCTAGAAAAAAATTTAGGGGATTATCCTTTGGCTTTCTCATAGCAGCCTGAAGCGCTGTGGGTTTTTCCGCAGTAAGCAAATGGTGTAGGAAAATTACATTTTCTATGAAGCAGCATAAAAACATCATCATGCTTCTTGTATGCTAGTGAACAGCTTTATAGCATTAGTCTCTCTTCTCAGTGCCTTGTCCTCTGCTTAACACTGGAGTTTTTAAATGTATTCTGATGCATCTGAAATTGTTATGAGTATGGCCGGATGTGATGTGATTAGCAAAGTTTTACATTTGGAGAATGCAAGATAAGTGATTAATACGTTTCTCTGGCTGCCTGAAAATTTTCTTAGAATCATAGAATGGTTAGGGTTGGAAAGGACCTTAAGATCATCTAGTTCCAACCCCCCTGTTATGGGCAGGGACACGTCACACTAAACCATACCACCCAAGGGGCTTGCAGCTTAATCCCCCAGATGATTTTAGACTGGCTCCACAGAATGTTTTCTATCAGCACAGTTGAGATTAGCTGAATTTTTTGCTTCTCTGTTTTGCAGAGTGGTTTAAAGGTTGGGATTTTGTTTGGTTTTGCTTGTTTTTTAGGCGTGTTTTATTTTTGTTTGTTTGTGGGGTTTTTTTCTTTATGATATTCCCTTAATTTGCATTTCAAGATGCTTATTCTGTTAGGCTTCTAACTCCATTGTTTTCCTCTCTTCAACGCTGCTCGGGTGGGTATATTTATAGGTAGTCCTTATGTCCATGTCCGTGCTGTAATTTTTAATTGGATAGGCAGCCAGAATATTAACTAAGTATCTCCTAATGTATTAATGAAACAACAAGAACAAAAAACCTAATTTTTGCCCATTGCTCTTTTAAAATGTATTTCTTTCTGCAGTGCTCGTATGTTGCAGATCAGCTTTTACTCTTGTCTTGCTTCTGTAGTAGTTGAAACAGAGATGAAATATGCAGATAAAAGCTTTTGTGATAATGAGGGAAGTTAAACTAGGTAACTGTATAAGTTATTATTTTCATGTAGTACATTGAGGCCACGTAGCTGGCCACGTGATTGGTTTGTCGTGGGCCAGGTTCTGAAAGAATTGATAGCATCTTACTTCAGAGAAAGGAATGCTTTATAAATTTGTGTTGCTTAAAGATGATGCCCGTGGGTGTAGCCCTGAGCTTCCCATCTTGCTTGTCAGCACCCCAAGAGCGGTGTTGTCCTTAGTTACTGTACAACAAAGTTGTGCTTTCTTACAGCAGCTTGCAGTGACTCTCTTATTTTCAATCATGTCTTGCTAATGAAGGTAACGTCTTTGCTCAAATCTGTTCTTGTAGATCAAGTTGCTGAAACAATATCTCTGCTGTCACAGTCTTTTTATTTCATAGTTCTGCATCTTCTCATCATCTTTCTTCTCCCTCTGTCCTTATGCTTTCCAAAACTGTTACCTGAATTCTTCACTTATTTGCTTTCTCAGTGAACAAGCAACTTCTTTTTACACTTGTCATGTTAAATGGAATGTGCATGTTTTTCTGTCCTTGGAGAAATTTCCTTTCTTTGTAGGAAGACTGGATTTTTGATGCGTCACTAGTCCTTTGGATTGAGGTTGATTATTGCTGACTGTATTCAATAACTGGAACATTTTTCTTTATATGGTTACTAAAACTGAGAAATCTACATGCCAGCTTGACAAAATATATTTTAGCTGAGCGAGACTTTTTCAAGTGCCATTTCCTGTTAGTGTAGTCTAACTACTGATTACTGAGAGTCTTTATTTTTGGGGGGGTTTCATTTTATTCCTATTCCCTCACCCCTTGTGCTTCACGTAGTCTAGGTCTTAATAAGGCTTTTGATCTCAAATATTTTTGGATATAGGTATCTTTTACAAGTATAGTAGTCCATCAATTCTGGCTTTAACTACAGGGTCCCCTTAAACAAATTTTAACAAAAAGAGGAG